CAACCAAGGGCTATCTATGGCATTTTAATACCGCCTCTTTCAGATTATTATCTTCAAACATGAGCTTTAGGCTGATTTGAATGAACATGTCAAAATAAATAGGTCATCAGTCAGTGATCCCCATATTCCACAGGATTCTATCAAAGAATGCATTAAAAATAAAGCACCATTTGCTGGTAATTTTAATAAATCCAGAAAATATTGTATCTAATCATTAGAAGCTGAATTTGGGACACTTGAGTGAGATATGTTCGACAAAACTTCTGATGAAAATATTCACAAGTTGCAAAAACTGCTTAACAAACTTAGTGATCTGTTACCAAGGTAATTCACTATTCATAGTACCAGACAGAATTATTATTGAAATAGTGTCCAACATAGCCGTCTTCTTGCCTTAAATTAAGGGAAATTTGATTTCTAAGCACAAATTTCAGCAATTAAGACAAAGGATGGGAAAATTAAATTTTATCCTGTAAAGATTAAATGTACTTTTCAAATGTTTTATCATAATTTATGTAAATCAGAAGTATCTTATGATGATAAACGCTCTTAGTAATTCCTTGAGAGACTACATCTTACTAAATTACCTGATGCTGTACTTAAGTTCGAGGCTCATATAACCTTGGAAGAATTAAAGGACGGGATTCAATCGTTGAACAGAGGTAGATCCTCAAGCCTGAACGTTCTACCCCCAGGATTTTACGAGACATTTTGCCCCCAACTCTGTAATTTTCTGTTAAATGTGTTACATTTTTTCTATCAATATGGCCCATTTTCAACCAGTGCCGATGTTGCAGTAGTCGCCCTTCAGCTGAAAAGGGGAAAACCACCGGACTGTTCTTCCAAAAACCCTTTGAGCCCTCTAAACTCTTAAATTAAGCTTTATCCTAAGGTGCTAGCTTCCCGTTTAGAACATTATCTGCCCTATCTGGTACATCATGACCAAACCGGGTTTATTAAATCCAGACTGGATTTGCAGACATATAATCGATTCTATTAAAGGCTCAGAAGATCAGAACGCCATCATTTCGTTAGCTGCCCAAAAAAGGCCTTTGACTTGCTAGAATGGAGCTAATTATGGTCTGCTGGAAACCTCCACATACACTATCAATGAGGGAAGGGCTTCTCGCTAACCGGGACATTGTACAATTTGAGCTCTCTATAACTTTCCTACATAATGCAAAAATCTCTAATCTTAGTTTTTGCTCTAAACTGATCTGTATTAGACTTGTTTATATATTCTGTCTTGATTATGATGGACATACTATAGAACAATTGACTTCTTTTAGTTATTTTAGTTGTATACCTATGGATGTTTATACTGCTATCTGTGTGGATGTTGTTATGATGCAGAAGATGGCGGTATAATAGCTGTGTATTTTTGTTCTCTTAAAATTACCTCTTTGTCGATGGATGTAAGGGCAAAGGGAAGTTGGGTTTGTTTGCTTGTTTTTTATTGTAAGGGTAAATTGGGGTTAGGGTTGGAAAAGAAATGTTGACAATAAGCAGAAAGTGTAATAAACTGATGGACAACCTACACATGTTAATAAAATAAAATAAGGGTCACAGAAAAACAACTTGACGTTGAACTACTGATCTTTTCCTTTTTTATACAGAGGAGTAGTGAGAGTTAGTACTCTGTTCACTTTATGATTATTCACTCAAGTCTGGCAGACCTAGATTTAAGTGTTTTTTGTTTCATCAAGAACAAGTAGTAAACGAGGCAGGGATCTGTTACAACATGATGTAAAAGGAAGAAAGGGAAAAAAGACTTCGTTATTCCTGCCCACAGGTGGCACCGCCCCCTTAGCGCAACGCCAATGTAGCTGGTAAAAGTCGAGGCTCTCATCATGAGTCCTGTGGAGTTTAATCATGTTGGCCCTACGCCGTCCTCTGCATGATATAATCTCAAGGTGTCACAGGTGGAGTACTGTGCATGTCGTTAATTCAGTTTTAAAACCCTCTGCACGAACAGATGGCTGTGCAAATGCTCCAGCGGATTCTTCCTAGCTAGTATTCGGTGGCTTCTTCTTCTGGTGAACTGAAAATAAAATTAGGAATCAAAGATTATTTGAATGGTTCTAAGAGAATTGAAATTTTAGAACCAGTTTTAATTGATTCTTGGAACCCATCTATACCTATTAGGCTGGGAAAAACTACATTAGACTATGACTTTCCAAAGAGGTCATGTTTTTGGTCGTGTTTGTTGTTTGGTTGGTTTGTTATCAGAATTACTTAATAAGTTTTGAACAGATTTTAATGAAATTTTTACAAGGAACAATTAAGTAAATTTTGGTGATGATCCATATCATACGGTGCAAATGTTGCTGCTTGGCAGAGGTCAGCGCTCTCCAGGATCTTTGCTTATTCAGTGTCTATGGCTTTTTTTATTTTTATTTTTTTATCCATTCTTTTGGGGGGTTTTTACGGCACTAGTGGCTCGTTTTTTGGGGAGTAGGCTGACAGGAAAGGGGTTATGAGAGAAGAGGAGAGACATGCAGGAAAGGACCACAGGTTGGATTCAAATCCAGGTCGACTGCATCAAGGACTAATCCTCCGTACATGGATCATCTGCACTAACCACTGCGCTACAAAATCACACCCCATGGCTTTTGATGTTAAAGCAATACAGTCATATATTTAATCCACATCGGTGCGTTTGCACCCTTAGCTCCTCCCACCTTCATTTGTTAGAAATCTGTACATCTCATAGATCCATGCTGGAAATTGTCAGATATTCTTAGAGTAAATGTAGAGCTGTTAGCTCTAGTTTACCAGATTTATCTTTAAAACATCTGAGAACATTTATTTTTCCCTGGTTTAGTGAAGTCATCACTAAAACGCTTTAGGGTACGTCTGTCTTTCCCGTGTGAGACCTTGTTATAAACTTGTCTTAACCTGTTAACTGTCAGGTCTAATGTGTTGCCTCTTTCTAATGTCAGCCATTACCACAGTTTCATATGACAGTAGGGCGAATTAATCGGATTACCGTAATCGATTATTGAAATAATCATCAACTATTTTAGTAATCATTAAACACTTACCGGCGTATAAAGACTTTTAAACATGTATTTTACTGACAGAGCGACTCACTTAGAGCAGCAATTGTACAAAACTTGTAAAAAATAAACTCTGTCAGTATTCCCTATCCAGATCTCCTCAAGTGGAAAAGTTTCTGTTTCACTTGGTTTAATTTCACAAAAAATCTTCTTAATGGAACCTTTGGCTATCAGATTATTAATAAAAAAAAAAGCAAAAAAAATATCGACAGATTAATCGATTTGCTAAATAATGGGTTAGTTGCAGCCCTATATGGCTGGCTTGACCCTTCCAGGGGTTAAAGAACAGCAGCTGGTTGGATTTATGCTTTTTTAGGCATTTCAAAATAGTTTTGGGTGATTTTGGTCACTTCACAAAAACACCAACAACTAGTAGAGATTTTGAGCCTACATCCTCTATAGATCATTCCTGCTAAACTATCCTCTGGTAAGTGCTGATCAGGAGGAAAATCTTAGTCTCAATAGTCAGTTTGTGTCAAAAATAATAAACTAACTTTGACACTGCAGGTTATAAATGAATTTTAAATTTTGCGTTTAAAGCATAATGTGGTCAGTTGGATAACGATAATCAGGAAATGTTTCTTTTAATCTGTTCAGAGTTAAAATGGTGGAAAACAAAACAAAAATAACACAGAAAGCGGCTAAAAGAAATGCGATGGCCTTTCTTCTGATATATTTAAACTTTTATGAGGAAATGTGTTTATTTAATGGAATATTTATAAGTAATTTGTATATAATATATATTTTTAATGATGAAAAAATTCCCAATACCATGATGCCCCCTCCTTGGTAAAGTCACAGCCGTTTTGATAAACTCTAAGCCATTCTGACTCTCCCACAGTTATTCATAATAGACGGTAGTTTTTCTTTTCTTCATTTTCTTCCAGGATCCTGTTTCCATTTCAAGCACAAAGACATTATTTTAACCGAGCAGCGTTTCTTTTTTCTGCACTTGTTGAAATATTTTCCTCTCTTCAATTAGTGCTTAAACAAAAGCTCACTTTCCTCAGAACGATATCAGGAACAACCAGATTTTCAGAGTAGAAGAAATGAACCTCGCATGCAACACTTCTCACCTTCATCCAAGCACCTCCCTTTTGAAACATGAGTCTTCACAAAATGAAGGACCTTTGTAACTAAACTCTACATTATTTGTTTTTCTAATTTCTTGTAGGTAATTACTCTACTACAGCTTCTAATCCATTAAATATAATGTAGGAATATACTATATATTAAGAAAGAGTCATGGTTAATTGACTTAAACACTATTTTACTTGTAATTTAACTGACCCAGCATTAAAATTATATTTTTAAGGGAGATTTTAGAGTAAATATTTCATATTTTGTCTATTTTATATTATTCTGTCCATGGTATAATGCTCATACCTTCAATTTAGCTCTGGTGGGACGGTGACGTGCCTCTGTGCTCCCACACTCATCTGTAGTACGGTCACAGGCTAATAGAGAATCACAAACAAGCAAGATGACATAAGTTCCCTCTTTTAAACTCAAGCCCAGGCCACACACATGCATGCACACAGGAATCTGGGATGAAAGCTTTAAGGTGTTTGGTAGTCAGCCCTGATCCCTGTTAATGCTGCAAGTTTCTGGCTGTTCTTTTTTGCTTGCCGTTTTCCCTGTAGGGGCTCTCAGCTCTGAGCGCCAGAAAACAAAAAAAAACAGAATGTGCAGACATGCTCACAAAGGTGGAAGCAGCATCTCTTCCACAGATCTCTTCTCTAAACCCCTAAAAGGCAGAAATCTAAGGGGAAAAAATAAGCATGCATGTGTGATCCAAAGCCAGACTTGAAGTCAAAGCCAACTCTGCAGCTCTCGTGTTTTTAAATCCCAACAAAGCTCAGCTATCTGTGTTCTCCTCCAGAAATGGGGATGTTACTGAACAGCTTGGATGACTCAGCTTTGCCTCTCTGTCTTTTCTAGTTCATAATAGAAGATATGAAGCAGCAGCAAACCAACAAGCACAGCAACCTGCACCGTGAGGACCAGCACATCACTGTGGAAGAGCTGTGGAAGGGCTGGAAGACCTCTGAGGGTAATTCTATTAGGAGAAAATACATGTTACATCTTCTGAGTAGAAATGTACTGTTCCATTTTTAAAAGATTGTCCAATCTGGTACTAATAGTTCACATCATCAGCAAACAGAATATTATTCACTGAGATAAAGTACCTGATAACAATATTCTGTTTGGAAACACTGCTTGATTCCTTTACAGGACATCAAATAGCATGGGTATGTGGTTTTTTTATCAAGGTAAACAGCAGCTGAGATGTGATCGGAGTCACTCACTCTGGTATTTTCCCTGCAATTCAAGCTTAACCTGTTGGATTTGTTTGTTTTTCATTGACACTGATGGCATCCTTTGTTAGTAAGGGTGGCATGTAGCACTCTGTGTTTAATAGCCATGTGAGCATTCCCACAACTATTGTTAGAGTAATGTGCGGTTTGACTAGCTTCCCTCTTCCCACCATGTCTGGCTTATCTACTTTTTGCTTTCCTCTCCTAGTTTCCTTTGTCCTTGCTGGTTTTCTTTCTACTGTAATTTCCTTCTTCCTTTTCTCATATTTTCTTAATGTTATTTCCTAGTGTGAATTCATTCTTTTCTTCCACGCTACATTTCAGGTGTCTTTCCTTCTTTACTTTTGATTTTTCATATTTTTATCCCTTCCTTCCTTCCTTCCTTCCTTCCTTCCTTCCTTCCTTCCTTCCTTCCTTCCTTCCTTCCTTCCTTCAATATTTTTTACAATTATTGTACTTTCCCTTGATTTGAACTTGTAACTAATCCAGAAGAATAAAATAATCTACGTTTAAAAAAAACAAAAAAAAAAACAACCCTAATTTTTCTGATATCTATATCTATCTTATTTTAAGGCACCAAATGACATGTTTTATTGGCAGCTCATCTTGTTCACCTTCCCAATTCAAAAACAAAAAACACATTAACTTTGCTAATTGCTAATTTTAGATCATTTTTGCAATATTTCTTCTTTTCTTCCTTGTATCCTTCCTCCTCCTCTCCACCTTTCTTCCATCCTGCCTTTTATCCATCCTTCCTAGCAGGTCTTTGTTTCTCCTGGTTCCACATCTAATCCCAATCATTTTTATAAGGTCTGTTAGGATCTTTAAGCATATTTTCTCACTACTGGTTTCTCTCTTTGACCCATTCCCGCTCAAGAAAACTCAGTCCATCGCCAAATTTATCCCAGATTTTGAAGAAGAAGTTGCCTTGGGAGGATGTTTTGATCATGCTTGCATTGCATGGCATTAACCTGGGGCAGAACTGTGGATAAAACCTCCAACCCCAGTCTTAATTTTGTCAGACAGCATTGGCGTCTTTGAGGCCAATTTAAAAATTATCCTAAAATCTTTGCCATGAGGCGCTAATGTTCGTCTGTGGTCAATTAGAGCAAACTCTGCTATGATGGCTGCAGGGTGACAGTCCTGCAGCTTGCTGGACTTAAGTTTATTTAAACTTTCCCCTTTAAGTTTTCAGTGACCTCATAATAAAGTTAAATACCCCTAATTTTACATGTAAAACTGTGTTAATAATTGCAGACTTTTCTTTAAAAGTAACAAACACAAAATGACAGCAGGAGAAACATCCGTCGCTGATTTATATCAGTCTAATAATATGATCATTAATCTTTCTGGGCTTTATTTGGGATTATTTATACAGGAAAAAAGTAAATAAATAAAATAAATTACAATAATACAACAATGTGAATAGTAAGAACTCGAACACAACACCACAGATTTTCTTTGGAATTTAGAGCAAAACTACAATTTTCTTTTTGCTGAAGCAACTCTTTATGTTGGGTTAAATGAATCCTGATCACTGAGGCCAAAAGGTTTTGGTTCTAAACAAACAGCTGGTTTCATCTGCTGTCATAAAAACAACCTTGTTCCATTTAGAGAAAATGACACCAGAGCATAAGCTGTCGCTACCGTGTCCCACTGTGTTTATGGTGTTTTCTTAATACGCAGCAGTGCTCACATTGTCATCACCCTTTTATTCTGTTGTAGTCTTAAGCTTTAAACTAAACGGTAACTTTATTTTTATGTCATTATCTTGTTGTTTTAATCTGATTTACTGACCACTTTATCTGTAACTTTACAAAAAAAATGCTTGTTGAACTCAATTTCATCACAACTAAGGCTGAAAAAACGAATTAATTGATAATCATTATTGGTGATTGAAGCTGACAGAGGAGGTAAATGTGAACATGAGGCTGCATCGGGGATCCAATCCCTTCCTGTTTGCTGTGATGATGGTTGACGGACAAAATGCAGGAAACTGCTTGGATTAGGATGTTTACAGATGATATTGTGATCTGTGAGGAGAACAGGAAACAGGTAGAGGAGCATCTAGAGAGATGGAGATTTGAACTGAAAAGACGAGGAATGAAGGCTGGCGAGACAGAAGGCGTGTTTAAGATTGAGAGCAACCGAAGTGAAACCATGACGTCATAAAGAAACAGAAGTAAAGGCTGAGCAACATATATAAAGACTCTAAAACACCCAAAACTGTAAGCCAGGCCTATACTAACAGAACACATGTATGGAAGATTAAAAATATTCAATGTGTTCACAAACTCTCCATCCAGAACTACTTATGAGCATTAAACTCACTTTCTTTCAATTAATTAATCAACTTTTTTTAAGCTGAAAAAATTGTGTATTGATTTATGTCTAACTACTTATAAATTACATAAATTAGGGCTTATTAAAATTATTAAAAGCCGTGGTTATAATAAAAACTGGAAGTATTAATCCAAGGATAAAGGATAAAAATTAAGATACTCTTAGTAAAAAGTCTCTCTTCAAATGTTATTGGACGATATCTGCTTTAATATGGCGCTCTATTCTTTGTCAGTCTAATTTATTTACTAAAAGACAGTTAATAAAGCATTTTCATCATAGTTTTATCGGCAAATATCTTTTTTTGGTTTAAACTTTTTTTAATTTTTCAATTATGAATAATAGTTTGTTTAACGTTTCCCTTAAGGGATTATTTATTCATTTGTTTTTGTTTTTTTATATCAGTGCTGTTCCTTATTTTATTTGAATGATTTTGTAATGATTTTTAAGCAGCTGTTCCCTGACTGATACTTCTGATCCAACCTGCCTGCAGACTGTTGCTTTAGCTGAAGGATGCAAAAAAGCAAAAGTCAGCTGAACTTTAATTCTGGTAATCGTCATTTGTGTGCCAAAGAAGAGTAAATATTGAAATTAGATCAAAAGGTGTGTAAAACCAATTATTTGTCTAAGGTTGTGCACTCGTATGTGACAAGGTTACCGCATGTCTTGTTTATCTTTTTGTTGCCTAAAAGATCAGCTGATTTACCCGGATTAAATATCATAAAAAATAAATTCCCCAAATCATCAGGTGTTTAAACAGAGGTGTGTGCTCTCCTGAAAGTCGATTTATCAGAAGTGTTCTCTGTCTCTCTTCCCTCATACCAACCAGTCCACAACTGGACCATGGAGGACACGGTGCAGTGGTTGAAGGAGTCGGTGGAGCTGCCGCAGTACGAGAAGAACTTCCGGGACTTCAGAGTCACGGGGAACACGTTACCTCGGTCAGTACCGCCTGGAGCAACTGGTCTGTCATCCCTGCTCTGTTTCAGTGACCCTCAGACAACAACAAAAAATAAATACTTTAGGATATTTAGGTTTGATTTTTGCTGCCTTGGATCCAGTGTGAACATTAGCGTTGGTGATTTGTAGCCTGTACTCTGCTGCCATCTGCTGGTTAGAAAAATGCAACACAGGAAAAATGTTAGAGATGTGAGGAATTACACATTCCTCATAGTTTGAAAATTTCTGACATTCAGTACATGCAGCACAATCCTTCCCACTTCTTCATAAAAGAATTCACTCAATCATAAGTTTCAACCTTCAATCTAGTGTGGCGTGGATGAAGTTGTTATTTAAAGGCTGTCGTTAAATAAACGTCAGCAGGACATGTGCAACGTGAGCCGCCACAGACTGCATGTACTGAGGGAGGAACTGTAACAGGGCCGAGGTGGCGGGTTAATGAGGGGCTCTGATATTTCTGCAGTGAGCTGACTCATGAAGTGATGTCATAACCAGAGCGTGGTCTGAGATACTCCAGCCGCTGATGGCCCGTCCACCTGTTGTTGGTCCAGTGTGTCTGTACAGAATGTTAAACATCCCCTCCCATGATTTACAGCTGGATTCAGACTAAAGAGAGATATGAAATCCATCACATTTTGATGATAAACCATGCTCTCTGCGTTTCAGAATAGCGGCGAACGAACCGTCGTTTATGTCGATGCAGTTGAAGATATTGGATCAGCGGCATAAACAAAAGCTAAACCTGAAGGCGCTCGACGCGGTGCTGTTTGGGCCTCCTCTCCGTAAGTACGGCTAAGCTTTGAAGGCAGCGGAGCACGGCGGTTTTCATCTCCGCTCACTCCTCCGTCTCCTGCAGGTCAGCAGCACAACTGGGTGAAAGACTTTGTCCTGATGGTTTCCATTGTGATCGGTGTGGGAGGCTGCTGGTTCGCCTACATCCAGAACAAGTCCAGTAAGGTGCACATTTCTCAGATGATGAAGGATCTGGAGAGCCTTCAGAACGCTGAGCAGAGCTTGATGGAGCTGCAGAGTCGGTAAGAAGACAAAGCAGACCAGATAGTGGGACACGATTATATGTATATTTTCATAACCATTAAATCGTTTAGACTTCTGTGGATTTTATTGGGATGTTATGACACACCAACGCAAAGTAGTAAATTTATGAAATGTGGAAGAAGAGGACACATAAGTTGTAGTTGATAAATATTCACTCTCATTCACTTTACTTCCAAAGTGTATGTGTAATTTCACCTCAGGATAAATCCAGCCTTCCATCGAAAAGTAGAGAACAAACCAGCATCCTAAAGACCAAATAGCAGACAGGTTTGGCTGAAGGTTGCATAAAAAAATAATGCCAATAAAGCAATGACTGTGTTAAAACTCTGTCCTGACCCCTAAAGAGAGCATTATATAGGGATTCCAAACATTTTATGTGCGTTTCAGGAGTAGTGGAATCAAAATTTTTCACTACAGAAAAGTAGTGTACATTTATGGTAATTAGATGAGCAGATATATCCCAGAGTGCTCTGCAAGAGCTAGCCACACAAAGCATCATAGGATTTGTTTTAGGTGTGAGAGGGAACAAAGATGGCGCAGGCACTGTGCAGGGAGCCGGAGTCGCATGACCAAAGGGAGCGAAAAGTAGTGTTAACTCAGTTCACTATAAAGGATTAAGGCAATATCCCATCATTTCTCACATCATCCACCTAAAAAGACAAGAGCGTTATTCAGAGAAGCAGCCAAGAAACTATTAGTAACTCTGGAGGAGCTGTCGATCAGCAGCTCAGGTGGGAGAATCTCTCAACAGAACAGCTGCTAGCTGCTATATAAAGCTGTAGAATATATTTCATTGAATTCGTCATCACAGTATCAATGTGTGCAATATCTCAATTCTAAAGTACTGTTTTCAAGAAATATTTGGAAGGAAGTTCAAGGTCAAACACCATGCATGAAAACTTTCCAAAGGTTTTCCTTTATGCTCATTGCATGTTAAGGGGCTGAGATGCTAAGGCTCACAAAGACCATTGAAGCCAAGGGATATCTTTATCTCTATATCCAGCAGTAGTATCATAGTTACATTACCTTCATTGAACACTGGTAGGGAGAAAGAAATAAGAAGCCCTGAAGCAAATAGGTGGAGGGAGGTTGGAGGCTTTTTCAATACTGGTACTGCCTTTTTTCAGCCCTGATCAGGAGTAGGTTCAATCAAGACATAACAAAACATTTTGAAAACTGGTGGGGTGGAGTAGAGCCTGGCCAAATGGAGCTGGTGGAAAAGGGGCATATCAGTACACATCATGGTCCAGTTAAACACAGAGGGGTCAGTGTTACGTAGGGTTGTCACAATACTAAAAATCCAAACTTGAAAGCAGAGAACATAAAGTTATGGGTTGAACTAACAAAAACTGCAGAATGGGAGAATAGAGATTTAATGATGTAAAGTGGTCCCCTTGTCCTTCAGCACTCTAACCCTCTAGCAGCATAATTATACAGATAGCTCAGGATAACTTGAATTTAACTAAATCAGTATGTATCCCTGTGATGGATTGGCGACCTGTCCAGGGTGTGCCCCGCCTTTCGCCCGTAGACAGCTGGAGGTAGGCACCAGCAACCCTCGTGACCCCCCTTGGGATTAAGCGTGTCAGATAATGGATGGATGGATGGATAGTATGTATACAGATTCAGTGTTTGGGTATCAATACCTAACACTAGTGTTATCTTGTTTCAATGTTTATGTTCAGCAAAAACAGGAAGTTAGTAGGGTTGTAGGGTTGAGGTAATACCTTTTATCGATGTTTGTGTTCAAATAGTCCAGGCTGTGGCTAACAGATTACCATAGACACCCTCCATATAATCCAACAGAGCTTGAGTTTGTTTTACAGGAAGGACAGGATATGAATTTCATAACCTAAATGCAGAAACTGCAGTACAAGGTGGTTATATAGGGATATTTCTTAGGGGCAAACCTATGTCGCACGTTTCTGGTTTATATTTGTTACAAATATGAAAGCCGTTTGTTATTTTCTTTTTTTTTTTCACAGTAAAGCATGATAGTATGTGTGTCTTTAACATAAAACACATTAAAGTGGAAAAAAGTAAAGTTTGTTGAGATCTTTTAGAAGGCCTTTCTGCTTGTCTTCCAGGCTGGAAAAAGCTCAGGAGGAGAACCGGACCGTCGCCGTGGAGAAAGAGAACCTTGAGCAGAAGATGAGGGACGAGATCATCGATGCCAAGAAGGAGGCTCACCGGCTGCGAGAACTGCGAGAGGGTGCAGAGTGCGAGCTAAGCCGGCTCAAATATGCAGAAGAGGAGCTCGTGCAGGTGAAAGCATCCTGAAGGGTTACAGTCCCATAGCTTCATTATCAGTGAAAAAAAAAGAGAAAATGGCTTAGGACGTTTAGTTCAATACACCATAAATGTGTGGAAACATGACTTATTGCATATGGAAATGACTATTTAATTCACTTGATATGGTTTGCATATTCTTCACTATCTTTTGAATGATGCATTTAATTTCAAATCGGGGGAAAGTCTTGAATCTGGGACAGAGCTTAATATAGATGTAAATGTATTCATCACTGCCTGAACCAACCAAAATTGAAAAGATTAGTTTTATATTTTCTGCTTTAAACTTTCATTTCATTTGCAGAAATACCTGCTTAGCATATTTATTCACCTTTTATGAGGAACTAAAGCAGGGAAGTGTCTCAGAGTGTCTCAGTCCATCAGCTCTGTCCTTGGATTGGATTCAGGATTGATTTTTCACTAATCGCGTCAGAACATTTAAACCGTTTGGGATTTACCAAACAATGACCTCTGCTGCGTTTTACATGCATTTCCCTGTAAAGTCAAGCCTAACGTATCATGTTCCAGGTCCGAAAGGCTCTGAAGCGGGCGGAGAAGGAGATGCAGTCCGAGCGTTCGGTCCCTGAGGCCCTGCAGAAATGGCTGCAGCTCACACACGAGGTGGAAGTCCAGTACTACAACATCAAGAAACAGAGCGCAGAGTTTCAACTTTACGTCGCCAAAGACGAGGTGATCTATCCGCTTTTAAACTGCCTCTGGCAGCACAGATTAAAGTCATTTTGGGCATCTGTATCTCATCAGTTCAAAGAGATTTGCTCCTAATTTGACAAACTATTCAGTTTATCTGCTGTGAAAGGTTTGCAACAATCCTAATTTATTTACATTTAATAGCATTGAGTCCCGACACAATGCTCAAGGCGCTTTACAGTCAATTCAATCCAGTTTGGTTAAAAACAAGTTATCTAAGGCAGTGTTTCCCAACTGGGGATACGCATACCCCTAGTGGTCCGCGAGTGTATTGCAAAGGGTACTTGAAAATATTTTATTTCTTAGGTTGTAAAGAAAAAAAATAGGGCTGGGATTTGTTTTTATGTTGCTTTTTAAATTTGAGATAGAAAGCATAAAATTACAAAAGATAAATCCTCAAATTAAGATAGATAGATGGATATTCTATCTATAAAAAGGATCAAAAATGCAAAATTAGATAAAAAAAATAAAAAACCCAGCCCTTCAAGAGGCCTTAAAATGTCTAATGGCAGCCGGGACAAAAAATCTGCTTCTCACAGAGATCAATCTTTAAATAGTCTTTATTTCAGTTATTGTACGTTCCACTTTTGGACAATCATCAATATTTTTGACTGAGAGGGGTTACTCATGGTAAGACAAAATGCCCAAAAGGGTACACAAGTCTAAAAAGGTTGAGAACCACTAATCTAAGAAAACCCAGGAGGTTGGATTCAATTTCTAGAGGAGTAAGTTTCTTTTACTGGTCTGTTTAATCTCTTTCTCCTAATGTATCACTAACATTCCCTCGAGTTGAAGCTAACTGAACGGTGAACAGAGCTATCAGAGAGCTATCCTGATCAGAGTTCATGGTTCTAGGAGCTACTTTTACTTCCTCAGGTCCTTAAAATAGCAAAACGGACCCAAATCATAACGCTGACGCTGTCTTATTCTGTTTGCTCCAATATTTTAGTAAAATGCTGCAGTTCCAATTCTTCGCTCTGTTGCTCCTCTGGATATTTTCCCAGAAGTCTTTGGGTTATTTAAGTCAGCAGGAGTTTTGGTCTCAGTTCTCACATAAAAACTGCTTTTGCTCAGTTTCTTTCTCTCTGTAGATCCATGAACACTGAAGGCATAAGGCACTAGGTTCAATGTAGCCCAAAAGGCTGAGTAAAGACACTACAAACTGTAGCGCATCTGTTGCTTCTAAATATGTTATATATTATTGATGTCTGTCTAGTTCTATGATGATAAAACCTTCACCTCTGTAATGAGTTAAATCATATTCCAAAAAAACCTTCTCTCTATAATCCTGTTGCTTTTAACAGCATTTTTTATTCTGTTCATCTTGTTTCTGTTATTTTGAGGGTTAACAGGTTTCTGCTGGTTGGGAATGAAATAAGTTGAAACCCAATAATTGCTGTTGTTTATGGCAGCCTTTAGCCGCTGTAGAAAGGTCAGTAATTTGGTCTAAATGTGTTTCTTTTTTTCATTTCCTCTTGTTTCAGGCAGAGAAAATAAAAAAGAAAAGAGGTTCTGTGTTTGGAACCCTTCATGTTGCTCACAGCTCATCCCTGGATGAGGTGGACCACAAGATACTGGAAGCAAAGTAAGAGACACACCTACTTCCTGTGGGAAGTCTTCAATATATCTGATCAGGATCATTTATTGTAACCCAACTCTATCAGCAAAGCCTGAGGTTTGTTTGTGTAGATGCGAACAATGCAGATTAATGGGGCAGAACAAAACCCTCTCTTCCAAATGCCTAAATCAAACATCACAGCTGTTCTGTAAAGGAGAACATTCCATCTCTAGACATCCAAATGTTTCCCAAAAATGTGAATTGAAAAGGGAAACTTTAGATTTTTAGATGTAAACAACTTAAACTCTCAAAACCCGCCCGTTTTAAAGCGTTTACAAATAATAGCTCAGAATGCATGAAAGTTACACTGGTAAAATGTTTACCAATATAGACATGTTAGACATCGTTTCTAGATTCTCCACAGTTCAACCTAGTTCATTTTATGGACATAGAGAGCACCAAAGCACAATTATAGCAGCATGTCGAAATGTAGCATGACAGACCAGCTACAACAAGCAAGAATGTCTTTATTACTGCTGTTCAAAGAAATACTTTTCGAGAGAATAAAAAAAAAAAACAACTTTGAGTCATGTTTGAACTGATGCAGCTTGGTCGTTTTACTCACCCAATTTTCATGTATATATTCAGAAAATTAGAAGGTGTCAGCTTTCAAATCATGTATCACACATGTAATTTTGGCTTACAGTTCCTCAGTTATTTGCTTTTCCATTTGCGTATGCAAAATAGGCAAATTTCCCAGAAATTAGGTAAACATTAAGAGGTTAAAAAAGCACGTATCCTTTGAACCCCAGGTTGTTTCTAACATGTCTGTAAAGTGCCTGGTTCTGTCATAAAACGAGACATATGGACCCAGTATTCAAGGTGAGACAGCCAGTAGGAAAGTTCAAAACGTTAATTAACACAAAAACAAACAGACAGAACTGAAGTGCAGGGCTGTGGAACTGCAACCACAGTGACTGCAGGGGCTGGGCGCAACCCATCACTGATTCTGTAGGGAGAAACCCAGGTAAGTGACCATGATCATCTGACAGCATAGGATTATCAGAGTGAGTCACTTACCTGGTTTAAAAGTTCAGTCCATTCTCTGCGTACAAGGCAGGGTCCATCCGATGGACTGAGATCCAGGAGTCCTCAGCTCGCCAAAGGGTTAGGATCCACACAGGAAAAGACAGAAACAGGGTTCCAGGAATCCACAGAGCGTTCAGGCCGGGTCCAGAAGCGTGCCCACACAGACACGCACAGATGCAGATAAGCACGCTCAGAAACAGACGAGCAGGCTCAGTGGTTGAGAGAACAGAGACGAGACGTTGTTACAGGATTTCTGCAGGACTTCAAACTGGTCTCCTCATAGGAGCCATACTTACGGGAATAAAACCGACCCTCACCGTGTTTCAAACCAAAACCCTGAGGGCACCACGGAGAAGGGCCAGAACAGGATCAGAAGACGAGACAAGCACGAAACTTCTCAACCCACTTTCTGCCAGGAACCAGGACATGAATCAGGGAATAAACTAAAATTACCCCAAAAAAAACCAAACAGAAAACAAATAATGATCTGGCCCCGATCGCTCAGGCTGAACCGAATATAAAGGACTTAATGCAGGTGGATGAGATAAGTGATAATTGGAAAACCAGGAAGAGATAGGGGCAGGTTAGTGAAATGAACAATTAAGCTGAGCCATCAGGGCAGATCATTTTATTCACAGTGCCATGAGGTTTTGGCAGCTTTGGTGACACCTTTAAAGCCCTCTTGTTTCTCTTGTAGAAATACCAGTTTATGGTCCATTTAATCACCAACCACTGGTTTGCAAATTAGACCATGCCTTCTGGATGAGGTTATTTAGAGATCTTTTGATTTCTAGGTTCAAAGAATGGCTCAGTTCTTCAAACAGCAAAGGAAAAGACAGGGAAACATGAAAGTGGAGTGTTCAGAGTGGCTCCTTGTTAGGCTTAGGGTTCAGTATTAGAAGGACGAATCTGTGCCACAAAAACAAAACAACCGCTTCCTCTTTAGTGCATCTTAGAGTGGGATCTTTGCTGGTTTTTGTGCTAAGGGCTCCTCTTCCGTTCTTTGTATCTTTGCAGGAAAAGTCTGTCAGAAGTGACAGCATGCCTGAGGGAGCGGCTCCACCGCTGGCACCAGATAGAGAAGCTCTGTGGCTTCCCCGTCGTCAATAATTCAGGTCTGCCCAGCCTGACGGCCAGCCTCTACTCAGACCACAGCTGGGTGGTCATGCCCCGCGTCTCTGTCCCTCCGTACCCCATCGCGGGCGGGGTTGACGACCTGGACGAGGACACGCCTCCCATCATTCCACAGTTCTCCAGTGAGAACGCCTCCATTTATTTAATATTATCTCAGCTATATCCTGTGCTCCACAACCACCTCCAATCTTTTGATTTTTTGTTTGTAATTCACCAGCAGCCACATTGATCCGGCCGCCGCTGACCCGAAACAGCAGCCTGTGCCGCTCCCGTCGAAGCGTCCTGAGCCAGCAGTCCTCGCTGATGTCCCCGGACCCGGACCTGCTATCCATGGCCGGCTCGTCCCTCTCCTATCGCCCCGACGCAGACGAAGAACAGTTAATGTTCAGCGTGGATAGGAGGGGGTATGTAGCGGTGGCCAGAACGGCGTGGAATGGTTTTACAGTTTGGACTAACAGGTGTTTGATTCAGACACGGGGGGTCACAGAGTTTGTTCATCGATCTGGTTTCTACTCCAGTTTCCTCTGAAAGATGAACTAAATTAATAAAACAGCTCGGTTGTTATCCTCCTGTCAGCATTATCTACTAATCTAAGCCTGCAAGGTTCAATCAGCTCATTATTTATTTATTTTCACCAACAGATTTTACCCAAATTTAAAGATTTACGTACATTTATTAAATATATTTAAAAAAAATCAACATTTACTTTAAAAAAAAAAAGTCATTTTAACACAAATCTTAATGAAATAAAATTGACTTGGTGCATATTCATTTGTACAATAAAGCTTATTTCTAAAAGAAAATTTTATTTTTGAAAGAAGCAAAGGTGATGTCATTTTAAACTGAAGATTGGAGATATAATAGATAGTACAATAAATAAAAGATACACATTTTAAAAATTATTTCCAAAGCAAAAAATATAATTTTACTGTCAAATATTGTTTTGTTTGGTAATCAGAGGGAGAAAAAAATGTCTCTCAAAAACGTATTTCTCTGTCAAAACCTTAGTCTTTGATCTCGATTCAGGATTTTTCTCTCGATGTAAAAAACGTGATATGGGTCGACCTGTGTTCCTATTGGCCAGCCTCAACAGAATAGACAGCTGATTGGTGATTATAGCTCCATTTACACTATTCCCTGAAAACCGATCCTTGCCAAGCTTGGATCAGTTTAACCGTGCTGAATTTGGATCGGTTAACCGTGCCGAGCTTGGATCGGTTAACTGTGCCGAATTTGGATCAGTTAACCCCGAATATGGATCAGTTAACCGTGCAGAGCTTGGATCAGTTTAACCGTGCCGAGGTTGGATCGGTTAACCGTGCCGAGCTTGAATCGGTTAACCGTGCCGAGTTGGGGTTCCTTATGACCATTCACACATCACACTAGCACGGTTCCTTCCCTCCTAGTGGTGATCTATGGTACTACTGCTCTCTAGAAGTAAATAAGCAAACCAACATGGCGGCACCCGTATCATTCAGGAAGTTTGCAGAGAGTCATGCAAAAAAGGCAGCCTTTGGTGAATTTAGTTGACAGAGTCAGCTTTTGGGAATACGAAAAACAATGGTCTAATTAGGGTTCACAGACGCAGGAAGCGACAGATGCTGAGGTTCATCACACTGCTAAGCAGAATCATTAATTGGAATCGTGTGGCACGGTAGGGAAGCTAGTATTTTAATGAATGTCTGAAGTTTCATAATTACGGAGGCTGACTGTAAGGAGACAACGCGGTCTGCTCATGCGATCTGTTATCTGAGAACCGAGTCTGAACTGAACCGCGCCGAGCCCTACTGATGAACTAGTATCATGTTAGTGCGGTTCGGTTGTGTCTGGCACAGTCCGGATCAGTTTGCTTGTCATTTACACTTAACAGTTATCTCGGTTAAGGTGCTGGAACCGATTTTGTCACGGTTTGGTAGGAACGTTCCGGTTGGGCCGCTCCTCGCCTGGAATGTGGACCATAGCTTAATGCTGTACTGTGTTTCTAAGTGTTTTAATGTCTATTTTCCACCTAATGTCACCAATCAGCAGCTATTCTGTTGAGACTGGCCAATAGGAACACAGGTCGATCCATGACACGTTTTTCACATTGAAAAATCCTGAATCGACAGCAAAGACTTAGGTTTTTTTAAGACAGACGAGAAAAAAAAATAGTTGAGAAAGTATCTATTTTTAAAAGGAATTTTTTTCACAAAAACATTACAAAATTAAGAACTATTTAAGATTACAATTATATTTTAAGAGAGATTCTTTCCCCTGGAGATAATTTTCCAAATTTTAATTTATCATTTATTTATCCTATCACTAAATATTTTCTCTTAAAGATTTTTCTTCAGCCTCAAATAGCATCAGTTTTTGCTATCAGTGGGATTTTTTTCCCCCTCTCCAATATATTTATTTTAATTTCCAATATTTTTCCCTTTAAGGTCTCCTTTTTTTCTTGATTTTTAATGAAAGCACAAAAATAGCTCTATAATTGTTAGGCAATTTAAACAGTAAACTTTATGTATTTTACATCTAATTGGTATTTATTTTGAGCAACTATACTTTATTATTACTAAATACATAAACCTGAAAGTTTTGCATTTTAAATAAATAAGGTATTTTAAATCATTTATAGTTTATTTAATCTGTTTTAGGTGTATGAATTATCTTAAAAATAATTAATGGGAATTTGGTGTGTAATAAAAATACAGGAATGTTAACTTTTAGGTGAAATAATTAGAAACAGTGCTGCTCAACATGCAGAATATAAAAATAATTTACAATGAACCTTTCTGACAATATGAAGCAGGCTAAATCATTCTTAGACAGAAAAAATGCAGGAAAAGATGAAAAAAAATCGAAGACATTTATTAGTTTAAAAATGTTTCCACAAAAAGTCTTTATTTTGGGTTTGGATGAATTATTGGCATTGATAACTAATAGGGCGACAGTTTAAAGATTGAATTCTACAGCAGGACAGAAGGTTTATTGGAGGTAAAGGAGCTCTAGCCCGACCTTAACAGAGTAGTTATGTTTACTCACATTTATTCTGAATGCTTTAGAGCAGCTGTGCAGCTTCGATTAGCTTCAGAGGCATTTAGTTTATGACCCCAAATGGTTATGAAACTACTTTTGTTCTACTAATATACAGAAATCCTAACTTCACTCATTTTTTCTCAAATTTTACCTGGAAAAATGAGGATAGATCTTTAACAGATACTTTAATTTCAATGTTTTTTTTGTTCTTAAAGTTGTTGCAGGCTGTAAACAGCTTTAATGTGTGTATATTGTAAGATTTATTAACATTAATTTGTACATAGGTTGTGTTTTTGTCAGTGATATGACCCCAATCTTTTGCTCCTCTCCATCAGAGAAGCGGCTCAGGACGGCAGCTCCGACACAGACTCCCTCAGCTCCTCCATGGGCCGCAAGCAGCTGCACTCCCCCTGCGCTCCTGGACAGGACACCCCGTACCGTCGGATCTCCCGCGAGGAGATGCTGCTGCTGGGCCAGAGCAGCCCGGAGCGCCCCGGTTCCACCCACACCACCAGCAGTAGCAGCAGCAGCAGTCTCAGGGACTCCACGCCTCCTCCCATGCCTCCCACGCCGGCCGCCACCCCCTCCAGCCCCCCTTCTACCTCCCCCTCCCCTGCCATGGAGCACCACCCGTTTGCACAGAAAGGCTCGCCCGATCTCACCTGCATCTTGCCCGAGTCCCAAAGCATGCCGCTCTCACAGGGAGGCGCCGCTTCTCCCACAGGGAAGGGCGTCTACAACGGCATCCTGGAGAAGTCCTACAGCTTCGGCCAGCTGCCGGCCAGCATGCTGCCCAACGTGGGGCGCCAGCCGTCCCTCACCTCGCTGGACTCGGAGGGCCGGAGCGTGGGGAGAGATTACAAGCTCCACAGCACCTCCTCCCAGGACTCCTGCGACAACGGAGAGAAAAACAAGCGCTCCTCTAAACTCAAAAGCCTATTTAAGAAGAAAAAATAAAATAAAAACATTCAGAGCGAGAGTGGCGGCAAGAGAGAAAACGTAACTAATAAGAGTTTTATCAGTCGTTTGTCACTGGAAGATAAAACATTTCTTTTTCTCTCCTGGTTTTGCTCCTCGAAGATGGAATGTAGCTCAGCCTGGGTGCCGTCAAACGCCCCTCAGCCTGGTAGCCTTATTTTTCAATAATCCCTTTGTATTTAGTTCTCACAGAGAAAACCCGCACAGGTCAAGGAAGGAGCCGAGGGAAGCTTAAATTCTGCTGGTCTTCTTCTTTATTTTAATTTTTATTTTAGTTTAAACCAAAAAAAGCCTCTCTTAAAGGGTCTAAAGGTGCAGTCTGTACATTTTAGTTTCCAGCTCACAGTGTAGTGTTTCACTGAAGACGTGTAGTGCGGACAAACTCGTTTACTTGACTCATTTCATTCATTCAGATTCAGAAGAAAAAAGAGAATAATCCTGCTAAAATATTGTTGCACTACTGCTTTCTTTCTTTTCGTGGTGGATTTGGGAGAGAGGCGCCGCTCGCGGAGCGACGCGTTTGAATCAAGATGTCGACGTGAAGAGGGGATGCATGAGCGGTCGCCGTGGAAACGCCAAAACGATCCGATGTGCCCTCAGTGCCACTCTTTATGGATGTCTCAACATAAATATATAAATGGAAAATATATATATATATATAAACTGTTTTCACATGATGTTCTTAAAGGTGATTTTAATAGATTTTTAAATTTTAGGCTTTCACTGCAGACTGAAGCCACAACAGTCACTTTATCTGTGTTCATGTCGCCCTTTATTACTTGATTACCTGCATCCTGTAGCCATACAGTTACAAACATCTACATTCTTTGTGTTTTTTTCTTTAAGAAAAAAAAACAAGAAATCCTGCACTTGTTGCCAACATAATCAAGTTTTGTGTAAATTGGCTCAAATGAGTTGGAAAACTATAGATTTATTACTAAGAGTGATGTATCTTATTCATGTATTTTGGGGGTAATTTTGATTGTTTTTAGCTTACAGCTAAAGAAAACTCCAACTTATGAGTATTTTGAAATGTTTTCAAAAGTGTGGTATTGTTTAGTCTTATTTAAGTTGAAGAGAGAGTTTAATTTTCTATAAGATGATACTATTTTTATTTGTTACATAGTCCATAAATAAAAGATTTACAGATACAAAAAAAAACATTTTTATTTTGTTTTATTAAATTGATTTAAATGTAAACACATGCCACATTAAAAAGTAAACAAAAAAAAGTTATATTACCGTTTTGGGACCTGTTTGTGACCTTTGGTGCCTTTTTTTTAAAGGTAAGAGTCAATGCTTTGTTTTCCATTTTGGCATCATACATGGAAAACGAATTTATGTTCAGATTCATTGATGTTGATGCAGATTTTTAAAAAAATAAGTCAGTCCTCCCGTCCCCCCCATTGAATGAGAAATTGATGGCTATGATGAGCATGGTGTTGTTTTATGCTCCGGTTAACAAAAACAAAAAACAGTTTTTATATTTTTTTTATTTAAATATCCGTTATTTTTCAAAAATAGTTAAATGAAATGAAAATTTGTGGAAATCCTGTTTCCATCAGTTTTTCCTTCCACTCAACTTCCCATTAATCTACTTGAACACAGCACTCTCTGGAGATCATTCTTCCTTTTTATCCTATGTTAAACTAAATGTTTTTTTTTAAGCTGTATTTATGGGTTTTCTTTAGCTGTAAGACTTTATAATCAAACTGAACAGATGTGGTCATGTGAGATTTATTACTCTGTTTAATGAATTTATATGAGTTTCACTCTTTGAACTGAATCACTACATTTTGATAGGCCTGTATAACCACATGATTTGTCGGGAAAAGCTGCAGCCAATCAAAAAGCAAAGCAACCAGATTCACCCAGCTGTTTGACTAAAAAAAAAACAACAACAAAACAATCTGCAACGTCAAGCTGTTTGATCCAGATGTGAATGATGCACCATGATCCTGCCTCTCCCCCACCTTCCGATCTCCCCCCCTCCCCCTCTAAGCTCGACCCACGCAATACAGTTCTGCTCGTCACCTTCGGGCTCGCAAACCGAGCGCACTGATGTCAAGAGCTTCACACTGTGATTACTGGCTGTTTCATCCCAGCTCTAGCTGTCACCATGGCGATTTGACCATGTGAAGGTGCTAGAGCAGAATCTAGGAGGCCGATGAGATGAAAATCCGATGGCCTGTTTGAAAAATAGGAAGAAATAAACTTAAAAAATGTTGTTGACAAGTGGAGCACAGAATGAAGGGGATGCAGGACAGGTGCTGTAAGATGATGTGAATGTTTACGGAGAAGAAGGAGGGAGGGGAGGGGTCAGAACATTTTGTGTGTGTGGATATTTGTATACTGTAGAAGAATTAATAAAAAAAAAAAAAAA